GGAAGGAAGGAAGGAAGGAAGGAAGGAAGGAAGGAAGGAAGGAAGGAAGGAAGGAAGGAAGAAGAGGAAGGAAAATCTGCCCTCTCCCCGGCTTCCAGGAGGCCCAGCCTCCGCTGGGAGGGAGGGACTTGGTCACTCACTTGAAGGCCCCTCGGTTGCCAAAGTAGGGCTCCTGGGAGGAGAAGGCACACTTTTTGGTCCTTGTCCCAACACACAGGTGACACAGATTGGGGAAGCGAGTCCTGTCGGCCCCCGGGACACAGCTGCTGGAGAAGAACTTGGCTACGGCTGTTGAGCACAGAGACGGAGGTGTGGGGGTATACGCAGAGAGGTGAACAGCCTGGACTGCATGAGCCACACCACTCCCCCCGCACGCACCCCCAAAATGGAGAGACCCCCCCAACACACCCCACTTCTTCTTCTATACTCCAGAGCAAAACTGGCAACTCCAGACATGTGGCCTTTCCTGAAAGCCTAAAGAGGCCCACAAGATCACCCCAAAATGGGCCTTCCCCCCCCTTGTACCCCCCCTGATCATCCATACCTGTGCCTATCCCAGAAAGCCTGGCCTATAAGCCAGTACTGGTGGCTCCCGCCTGTCACCCTAGCTACTCAGGAGGCTGAGATCTGAGGATCGCGGTTCAAAGCCAGCCCCAGGGAGAGAAAGCCCGTGAGACTCTTATGTCCAATGAAGCATCAGAAAACCAGAAGTGGCGCTGTGGCTCAGGTGGTAGAGCGCCCAGCCTTGAGCACAAAGAATTCAGGGACACAGCACCCAGGGCCTTGAGTTCAAGTCCCACCACCAACCAAATAAAGAAAGAAGGGAGCCTTGCCTGGGTGTCATTCAGCCATGGCCCCCTCATAATGTCTTACCTGCTTCCAGGGGTTCTGGGGGGCCTTTCCAGTTCAAGGACAGACGGAGGAGACCTAGAGGAATCGTCCAGCCGGCGGCCTCGCCCAGGCCCGAATGGCAGGACCTCGCACCTCGCAGCTGGTTCAGTTGTAATGAGCTGCTGCTTTTCACCACGGCCACAGCGTAAACATGGGTCTGGGGTTCTGTAAGCAGAAGACAGAGAAGAGAAAGCCTTAGTCCAGACCAGGTCCTGGTAGCTCACGCCTATCATCCTAGCTACTCAGGAGGCTGAGATCTGAGGATCGTGGTTCGAAGCCAGCCCAGGCAGGAAAAGTCCGTGAGACTCTTCTCTCCAATAAACCACTCAGAAAACCAGGAGTGGTGCAGTGGCTCAAGGGGTAGAGCACCTGCCTTGAGCAAAAGAGCTCAGGGACTGAGTTCAAGCCCCATGGCCAGCAAAAGAGAGAAGGGGGCTTTTTTCTTTTTCTACTTGGGGCTGGCCTCAAACCGTGATCCTCGGATCTCAGCCTCCTGAATAGCTAGGATGACAGGCGGGAGCCACCCACACCTGGCTGGCTCTGGTTAGGAGGTTCTTGTCTTTTTACCCAGGTGTTCACCACATGCCCGTCTACTTTGAGTCCTCTTCTCCCCCCACCCCAGCACAGGCCTTGCCCAGGGGGGAGCTCACGGGCTTCCGTTCCATAGACTTCTGCAGCTATGGGTCGAAGTTTGTAGGAGTCTAGCCCTGCGTCCAACATCAAGCTGACATCAAGGGTCATGGCATCTGCCTTCTTCGCCTGGAAGAAAAGGGAGCCGATCAACTTCCAAAGGAAACCTACGCAGTCCAGAAAACTATGGGCCCTCAGGGTTTCAGCAAAGCATCCGATCATGGTGGGAAGGGAATTTTAAAAGATCAGCTTTCAGCCGGGCACGGTGGCTCACGCCTGTCATCCTAGCTACTCAGGAGACGGAGATCTGGAGGATGGCAGTTCAGAGCCAGACCAGGCAAGAAAGTCTTTGAGACTCTTATCTCCAAGGACCCTGCCTGAAAGCTGGAAGTGGAGTTATGGTTCAAGTGGTAGAGCACCAGCCCTCCCCCCACCCCACCCCCCGCCAAAAAAAAAGAATCTCATGGATTTTCCTGCCCAGGCTGGCTTCGAACTGTGATCCTCAGCCCTCAGCCTCCTGAGTAGCTAGGATGATAGGCGTGAGACTATAATTTCTTCTGCAGGAAGACTCTTCTCAAGTTACAGATGCTCGGTCTGCAGAGTAGAGGGGGCTGCAGGGTCTGCCTACTTTCTGGAACATTCCATCCACCTGTCTCCTGCTTCCCTCCCCTCCTCCCCCATGGAGCCTGGTCCTCTCTGGCTCACCACAATGGCGTCCATGCATTGACGAGTGGATTTCTTCCTGACACAGCTGATAGGGGGACCTCCTATTTTTTCCATGTTCTTCTGCCACTTGGAGCATTTGGTGGCCTCGGGTTGGGAGATGGTGCACCATCGAACATTCTCTCTAGGTGCAGCCAAGCACAATCCTAGGAAAGAAAGAAAGAAGAAGAAGAGGAGGAGGAGGAAGAGGAACTCAAAAAAGGTTCAAGCCGGGCACCAGTGGCTCACACCTGTCATCCTAGCAATTCAGGAGGCTGAGATCTAAGGATCGTGGTTCAAAGCCAGCCTGGGCAGGAAAGTCCATGAGATTCTTATCTCCAAGGAACCACCAGAAAACCAGAAGTGGTGCTGTGGCTCAAGGCGTAGAGCGCTCGCCTTGAGCTGAACAGCTGAGGGACAGCACCCAGGCCCCGAATTCAAGACCCTCCACTACTGTCTAATGGCCACAACTGCATTTCCTCTGATGGGTGTGACCCACATTCTGGAAGCTTCGATCCCTTGATCCTTTTGTATATCCTGGCAAGGAGCCAGCCATTCTGCTCCAGGGAAGACATATTGCTGGACTCCCAGACCTCAACCTTGGCCAGAGTTCTGTGATTTCTTTTTCTTTTTTTGGTTGGCCGTGGGGCCCTGGGTGCTGTCCCTCAGCTCTTCAGTTCAAGGCTAGTGCTCTACCACTTGAGCCACAGCGCCACTTCTGGTTTTCTGGTGGTTCATGGGAGATAAGAGTCTCATGGATGTTCCTGCCTGGACTGGCTTTGAACCTTGATCCTCAGATCTCAGCCTCCTGAGTAGCTAGGATGACAGGCGTGAGCCACCGGTGCCCAGACCACATGTGTGTTGACTTAGCAGTGGTGAGTGAATCTAAAATCTCTCTAGATTGTTCTTCAAAGAGAAGGAGTTGGGGTTTGGCAGCTGCCTGGTCTGTTAGCGTTGATTTGATCAGAGCTGTTCATGAAATTGATTTGATTGTGAACTACTTTCTCTCACCATTGCCTCCAAGAGGAAGCTTCTAGTCCCAGGCATATGCTTAAGACAGAAACCTGACCAGGCTGTCAGGCACTGGTGGCTGTCAGATCTCAGGAGGCTGAGATCTGAGGGTCGTGGTTCAAAGCCAGCTTGGGCAGGAAAATCCGTGAGACTCTTACCTCCAACAAACCACCAGAAAACCACAAGTGGTGCTGTGGCTCAAGTGGTAGAATGCCAGCCTTGAGCAAAAAAGAGCTCAGGGACAGTGCCCAGGCCCTGAGTTCAAGGCCCATCACACACACACACACACACACACAGAGTGTATGGATTTCAAAGATCTTAGGAGACCCCAAGAGAACATAATGACAGCTAGGTAGGCTCAGAGCAGAGCCCTGTGCAGCCGAGATTCTCCCCGCTTCCTGCCCAGACCCCTGTACTCACCCAAGGCCCCCAGGAACAGCAGGTCAAGGAGGAGGAGCCTCATGCCTGCAGTGGTAGGTCCAAGACCTGAACAGATCTGCCTCCTGCTGTCTCTCTGGGAGCCCCTTTATCCAGTCTTGGGGACCTCAAAGGGGATAGGCCCCATCCTGTTACCCAACAGGTCTCAGGTGCCCTTCCCACAGCCTGAGGGCAGGTTTGCTAGTTCCTTGATTCTTGGGTTCCAAGAGGGAGGGGTGAGGGGGGGTGGGGGGAAGGGGGAGACTGGGTCACAGCAGCAACTACCAAAAAAAAAAAAAAACAACTAACCCTGTGTGCACCTCCCTTGTAAACCTGTTTGGGTTCTATAGAACCAGACCCAGGTGCCAGGCTGTAGTTTCTGTGTTTTCTAGAAGGGGGAATACAGATTAGTAGGGTTGGGGGATGGGGGTGGGGCTGCAGGGAGAGGAGGAAAGTGTCTCTACTTTGTGGGTTTCTTTTTTTCTTTTTGCCAGCCCTGGGGCTTGAACTCAGGGCCTGGGCACTGTCCCTGAACCTCTCTAGGCTCAAGGCTGGCGCTCTACCACTTGAGCCACAGCGCCACTCCTGGCTTTTTCTGTGTATGGGGCACTGAGGAATGGAACCCAGGGCTTCATGCATGCTAGGCGAGCACTCTACCACTGAGCTACCTTCCCAGCCCTCACTTGTGGATTTCTAAGACCTGTCTTTTGCTGCCACGTAGCACCCTGGGTTCTAAAGAGGACCCTGTTTGGTTTAGTGTCAGGGACCCACGCCTGTCATCCAAGCATCTCAGGAGGCTGAGATCCGGAGGATCGCAGATCAAGGCCAGCCCACGATGGGAAAGTCTGTGAAACTCTTTATTTCCCGTGAGCCATCAAAAAGCCGGAAGTGGAGCTGTGGCTCAAGGGGTAGAGCATCAGCCTTGATTTAAAAAAATAAAAAGGCCAAGGCCCTGAGTTCAAGTCCCCCCCCCACACATACACAAAAGGAAAAAGAAAGGACATTATTGAATATCTCAATCCCAGCTCATGTCAACGCACAAACATGGACTCTGATGTGGGGCTGGATGGGGGTCTCATACAAGATTGGGGTGTGGGTGTTGCCAGAAGGACTAGCTTGTTCTGGGGGCCACAGATTGGCCTTTGTTTGGAAAGATGAGATGGCCACATTAAAAGTTGCTTTCATCCATAATTGCAAGATGATATTTCAAAAACTGGTGAAGAAATCGAAAATTGACTAATGCTTATTGAGTGCTAAGCGTCTTTGGGCCCGAACGAGCCCCGAGGCTTTGCCTGTTCATGCTTCTAGAAGAATCAAGAAGCATAGCTGGGCACCAGTGGCTCACGCCTGTCATCCTAGCTGAAGATTGGAAGATTGTGGTTCAAAGCCAGCCCCGACTAGAAAGTCCATGAGACTCTTGGCTCCAATGAGCCACCAGAAAACAGGAAGTGGCGCTGTGGCTTCAAGTGGTAGAGCACTAGTCTTGAACAAAAGAGCTCAGGAGAGCACTCAGGCCCTGAGTTCAAGCCCCACGACCGACAAAAAATAAAAATAAAAAAGTGTACAGAAAGCCAGAGCTAGGGGAGAATGTTCTGGTAAGGAAAGTGGTGCCAAGAGGATGTCCATGGTTGGCTGAGGACCAGACATGAAAATTTCTTCCCAGAAGGAATAAGAGACTTAGGTTGGGGAAAACCCCAGGAAGAAAGTACCTGAGCCCAGAACCCATTTTTTTTCTCTCTCTTTCCTTTGGAACTGCATTGTGTCCAGGGAGAGAGGTTATTCTTCAACCTGCAGTGAACCAGAAGCCTCCGTACCTGCTTTTCATGTCTACAAGGACAAGGTCCAATAGGCCTTTTGCTGAGAAACAGCCTGAGATGAGCGTAGACACCCAAAGAAGCCAGCACCTGGCATGGTAGCGCATGCCTGTAGTTCCAGCTACACAGGAGGCAGAAATAGGAAGGATCCCAGTTTGAGGCCCACCTGGGCCCACGTAAGAGACCCAACCTGGAAGACAAACTAGAGCAAAAAGGACTGGGGATGGGGTGGTTCTAGTAGAGTGTGCTCACCTAGTCCGTGTGAGGACCTGAGTTCAAAACCCCAGAGCCACGCCACCTCCTGCGGAGTCTGCTTGAGAGATCGCGTTAGACAAAGAGCTTCAAGGAAGCAAGCCTGCAGGAAGGGGGTATTGGTTCAAGGCTTTCCATACACTTGGCTGCACCTTTATTGCCTCTACCTTTATTCTAACTATATTCTTCTTTGCTGTACATTCGTTGCTTTTATTCTCGCTTTGGCTATTTTTCTATTGATCCGCGAACAGAGCATGTTGTATTTTTCCAGTCCAATAGAGATGGCTTCCCTAAGTAATAAAGACTAAGGCCAAAGATTAAATGTGGGCAATCCCCCAATCAATCTATCATCTGATGTGATGCTGCCTCCAGAAACTCCTACAACTTCACAAGCGGTTTTGCAGCTCACGCATAATCAATACAGAAACTTAAAATTTCCAGATATGTTACAACAGGCAGAATTCATGAATTAAACTAAGCTAGAAGGAGTTATCCCCAGAAGCTCAGAGAGTTTTCGAAAAAGGGACCCCGATACTAAAAGGAAAAGAAAGATTCCCCCAACAGTTATGATTAAGTTTAGTCCGGCTTACATTATAGGGAATAGATGGTGGTTTCCCACAAAATATAAAGTTAGTGACATCACATTTCCTGAGCTGACCGAAGAACCGTTGCCTTATACAGAAGTTTACAAAGATGAAAATAGATGGATTCATGTAAAAGGAAAAAGGGTATTTTGGAACTCATTAGATTTTATGCACAGATTAGGTAGATCTAGACCATTATGGTGTTTATCATCAAAACAACAACAAGATGGTTTAAAATAACAATTAGAAATTTATGTGAACCAATATTGGGATTAAAATTATAGAAAACGGAGAATGCTTGACTCAACCTGGAAATGGTTTTTAGGATGGTTTCAAAGGGACTTGAAAATATATGGAAACAATAAAAAGAGTACAATATAAGTACAGCCTTGTCTTAGGTTTGTTCATTATTAAACATAAAAAGACTGAATAGATGATGCATTCAACTATATGCTAGATAGCTTAAAAGGTTGGGATAGTCATCAATTTTCATATAATCCATCAGTGCTTTGCTTTTCTTAAAAATTGATTACGTACTTAAATAAACCAAGAACCTATGTCACACTCACACACTGTATAAAAATGTTAATTCTCAATAAAGATACACTCAGATGCAACTCTTTTGAGTCTGTGTCTGTTTGTCACTTCGCCAATTTCTTGCCCACCTATCCGGAGATCCCTGTCCCATCGGTCCCAGTGCTCCGGCCGAGCTGGTCCATTGCACCCCAATAACACCCCAATCATTTTAAAAAGCAAAGAGCTATGGTTATCCTTCATTTCTCTGGATGAGTCCAGACCAGGGCTCCTTCAATGCCTCCAGCTGCTAGGGCTAATCCTCAGGCCTCATCACCTCTTTATTATTTTTTGTTTTTTGCCAGTCCTGGGGCTTGAACTCAGAGCCTGGGTGCTGTCCCTGAGCTTCTTTTTGCTCAAGGCTAGCGCTCTACCCCTTGAGCCACAGCACCACTTCAGGTTTTTCCTGTGTATGTGGTACCGAGGAATCGAACCCAGGGCCTCATGCATGCAAGGCGAGCGCTCTACCACTAAGCCAACTTCCCAGTCCTCCTCTCATCACTACTTCATGCCCTCCATTCATTTATTCATGGGACAGGATTTATGCATAAGACACCCAAACAGGCAAGGAATGCCAGCGGGGAGAGAGAGTCAGAAATCCAGAGTTGGGAATGGATGCCAGTGTCGGTCTGAACTAACTCTTCCTAATTATCCCTCTGGACCTGAGCTAGTCCTTCTGGGTATCTAAGCCTCAGTTTCCCCTCTGGGGTTTCAAAAAAAAAGGATACACAAGTTACCAACTAAAGCCTGATAGTGAAAACCAAGCATCTGTACCTCACACCTGTCATCCTAGCTACTCAGGAGGCTGAGATCTGAGGATGGTGGTTCGAAGCCAGCCCGGGCAGGAAAGTCCATGAGACTCTTTATCTCTAAGAAACCACCAGAAAACTGGATGTGGTTCAAGTGGTAGAGCACCCACTTGGAGCAAAAAAAACAAACCCAAAACCCTCAAGAGCAATGCATGGCACTAATTAATTGATTGATTTTTGGAGTTATTTCCTCAGAATATTTGATAAGGGGGGTGGTTTGGGGGTTTTAGGGGAAGCCCTGGTAACCGGAAGTTGGAGGGAGGGGTCTGGACAGCAACCGCTCTTAACCAACAATACCATTACCCAATGTTACTCCATGTGTGAAAGAAATTCAGTAATCAAATTGCTTCTCTCGGCCTGACCAGTCCTTCCTAAATCCTTCCCTTGCATGATTCTCCTCCATTTCTAGATCTCTGCCCACCCCCCGCTTCCTCCAGACCTCCTCTTCCTTCTCCTTACTTGAGGCTGGGGGGGGGAATCACTCTTAATCTCTCTAAACCAGTCCCTTCTCTGCCATTATGATTTCTGTGTGTGACCTGGGGCCCTTCTGGAGTGTTCTGGAGTCTTCCTGCATCTCCTGCCTCGTTCCTCTCCCACAAACCAGGACTTGGGCTGCTCCTGACTGAGATTTCTCCTCCACCTCTTTGTCTCTGTCTCCCTGTCTCTCTGTTCTGTCTCCATCTCCCTCTCTCTCTGTCTCTGTCTCTCTGTCTTTCTCTTTGTCTGTCTCTCTATCTCTGTCTCCATTTCCCTCTGTCTCTGTCTCTCTGTCTGTCTGTCTCTGTCTCTCTGTCTTTCTCTTTGTCTGTCTCTCTGTCTCTGTCTCCATTTCCCTCTCTCTCTGTCTCTCTCTATCTGTCTCTCTGTCTGTCTCTGTCTCCATTTCCCTCTCTCTCTGTCTCTCTCTGTCTCTCTGTTGCTGTCTCTGTCTGTCTGTCTGTCTGTCTGTCTGTCTGTCTCTCTCTCTCTCTCTCGTTAGCCCTGGACCTTGAACTCAAGGTCTGGAAGCTGTCCCTGAGCATTTGCACTCAAGGCT